GACATCCACCATTTTCCCAGAATTTTATCACATACTCCAAAACTCCAAAATCAAAAAATCCTACATATTCTTGTCAAATACAGATCCAACCAAAGTAGATACAAAACCATGTGATTCACTTTGCTTCCATACATTTATTGTATTCACATATTACCTACAAAAAACAATGTCTACAACCTTAAACCCAAGTTCTTTACTCCCATGCAGCAAACCCAAAAAAAAAAAAAAAACCATTCCTCAAGCTTCACTTGATCCCTTTTTCTTGGTTGATTTCCAAGGTGGCTGTGCCTTACGAAATTGGCTAGGGTGGGTATCTCTCATAGCAATCTCCCTTTGCAGACCTTGTTGTAGAAATTAACAGCAATTATTGTAAATAAATGATCAACATAATTCGCATCAAAATTGAATGTTAAGCTTAAATTCACAGGGTTCAATTTTGGTGAATTAATATATTCACCAAATCTGTGCTTTTTCTTTCTTCCTAGTCCATCAGATTGACCAAATTGCATAACACAAAAATAACAGCAAGAATAGCCACATATAATTAACAATAAAGCAATAAAGCACTATCAATAGGAACTCATAGATCCTAAGCAATTACTACTAAATAAACTTACATTTTCATCAACAAAATATCTAACAACACATGTTGTCCTGGTGTGACCAGACTGTTTACAATATCCACAAGTTGGAGGTTTTCTTAGTATTGGTTGGTGAGTGCTCGTTGATGCTCCTTGTTGAGTATGAAAAAAAAAGTCATTATCGTATAATTTGTTGATAATAAAGCAGGTGTAAGTAATTAACTTAATTTACTTTCGATTGGCATTTTGGGGCATCCCCTCTTGTTGTGTCCGGGCTGCTTACAAAGTGAGCATCTGATTTATCCACCTTCCTTTGTCATCTTTTCTAGCTATCCCACCTTCACCTTTTTGGTTTCATTATCGCTCTTCCTCCTATTCCCCTTAGGCCTACCCTGCTTGGATCTAAATGGCAGTGGTTCTAGTGGTTCCCCCTGATAATTTCCTAGAATTTCTCACCATTACAAGGCATGATTGATACATTGTATGCACATTCATACTTAACCCTTTGGTACCAAATTGATACAAATTCATTTGGGTTGAAGTTACCTAAACCAATTGCAGATAATGCATGAGGACATGGAATTCCTGTTAAATCTCATGCTCTACAACAACACTATTTCCCAACCAAGTCTACAACAAATTTGTCATTCCAATGCCAAACATCATAATGGGTCCTACCATTCCATTCACATATATATTTGGTTGCTTCAATCTTATGTGCGTATAATTTCTTCCTAATTTTGGGTGCTATATATCCTCTCCATTTGCTAACTTCTTCTCCATTCTTGGCCATCCTAACCATCACCTTAACTCTTACACATTTTAATAGTTAGATGATTAGCGTATACCTAATATCCATTATCCAATTGTTGAAGGTCTCATTCATGTTATTACTCACCGCATCACATTTGCACGATGTGCAAAGAAGGCCTTGCACCATAGCTCCGATGGGATTGATTTTAAAGCATCATCACCTTTCACAGTTAAATTTTTGATCTCTTTCATGTTTTTGTTGAATCAACCTTCATACGTTGACCTTGCACCAATCCCAAATCTTTTCTTCAATAGTTTCCTTCTGAAAATTTTTTACCAATTAGCATATAAATGCTTGGCACACAATCTATGCCTAGCCTCGGGAAGAACTATTTGTCTTGCATTAATCAATATTTGCCAAATTGTATTTAAAGAAAACAAATAAGGTTAGTAACTGATAATAAAGTCAATTGAATTATACAAAAATAACATTGACGACTATAGTAACATAAACATAAATATTTTTGTAAATTAATTCATAATAAATTATGCATACTTACAAGATGTTCATCCAAAATGAATGTTAACTCTCGCCTGGTGTGATTTGATAGATCGTTAGCTAGACATCTTAGAAAAAAGTTCCATGAGCTGGTACACTCTCAGTTAACAACAGCCCAAGCTATTGGGAACATTTGATTGTTCCCATCCCTTGCAACAGTTGCCAAAAGGGTTCCTTTGAACATCCTCTTAAGGAAACATGCATCTACTCTAATCACTGGTCTACAACCCAATAGAAAACCTTTCTACATCCTTCTAGGCACACAAAAATTCCTTTAAACACAAGTTTTCCCTCTGGAGTTGTGGGTGGCTCAGTATCAATTTTAACAATTAACTCAGGGGACAATCTCAATAGCTCTTCTGCGTACCCTTTTAACTGAGAAAATTCATTCATTTGAGTTTCCTTCACCTCCTTCAAAATCTTATCCTTTGCTAGTTTACACTTATCCCTTGAAACATAAACTCCTAATTCTAAATGAGAGAGTCTTACTAACTCACTGATTCTGACCTGCGAATTTACAAAAATTCTATTCCTATGGTGTTTTGCTAGTACCCTTGACCCAACCATGTCAGACTTCAAACTCCTAAAGCAAGTGTGTTCCATGCAATATGTCTTCACCTTAAAAGTTTGGTCATTTTTGTCAAAACTAACAAAGATTTGCCAATTGCACTGTCGATCAACACGGTGAACTCTTTACCTGGTGGGGTCACTTTTAACAGGTTTCAACCTGCAACCTTTTTGAATTTGGTACTTAGCTATATCCTCCTTAAACTGTGCCACATGCTCAAACTTCATCCCTACTTCAAACCAAACATCA